TATAAAATATTTGAAATAATTGTATGTACATGCAGCTGTGAATGTCTATTTGTTTTAATACAAACAGAGGAGCATTCTTTCGGACGAGTTAAGGACATTTTACTTAGATGAAGCATGAACATTTTGAGTAGATTCTAAGTTAGGTAAACTTAGATAAAGATCCAAACTAAAACACCTGGTGACTCTTTGAACTCACATAAATTACTATGGAGGGCCTTCAGACAGGTGGGGGTTGTATTTTACTCCCTTTAGCACAGAGAGTCTGTCTCTTATCAGGATCAGTAAATTATTTAGTGTTGGTTTATGAGTTAAGTAAAACACTAAAACCTTTAAAAGAATAGAATAGAATATAATTCAACTTTATTGTCATTGCACTGTCACATGTACAAGCAGCGAAATGTAGTTGTAGTGAACCAGAAGTGCTATACAGGATATAAATATTTATAAACAGTTGTACAAAGATATAAACAGAGAATAATATTGACGTGCTATAAATGTTTTGTACAATATAAACATAAATATGAGAGCTATGTACATATTATATTGATTATACTTGTATTCTACAAGTATAATCAACTGTATTAAGATATTTTCTTTAAACTTCAACAGCATGTTCTGAATTAGTTAGTGTCTAACCAAACTATTTGCATGCATTTTATATTACTGAAATACAATAGGATTTGGAAACTATTTTACTTCCAAAATATTTCAGGTATTCTAAAAGAGCTTTTCTAAAAGTAGACAACCCTGCAGTTTTTAGATCCAAACTCATAGTTATTATTTGGCATTAGATTTTTGTGCCAGTTTGTGTAAAATAGAAATCAGTTTCTTGTTGAATCACTGAGGCAGAAAAACCACCAGGTCATAAATTCTGTGCTGGAATGTTTAAAGGAGAGATTGGTACGGGAAGACTCTAGTGGAGAATGACCTTTGTCCTCCATATACAGTTAGGGCCAGAAATATTTGGACAGTGACACAGGTTTTGTTATTTTAGCTGTTGACAAAAATATGTTCAGAAATACAATTTATATATAATATGGGCTGAAAGTGAACACTCCCAGCTGCAATATGAGAGTTTCCACATCCAAATCGGAGAAAGGGTTTAGGAATCATAGCTCTGTAATGCAGAGCCTCCTCTTTTTCAAGGGACCAAAAGTAATTGGACAATGGACTCCAAAGGCTGCAAGTAAATCAAAAGGCCTTTCCCTCGTTAACCTGTAATCAAGTAAGTAGTTAAAAGGTCTGGGGTTGTCTCCAGGTGTGTGGTTTGCATTTGGAAGCTGTTGCTGTGACCAGACAACATGCGGTCAAAGGAGCTCTCAATTGAGGTGAAGCAGAACATCCTGAGGCTGAAAAAAGGAAAAAATCCATCAGAGAGATAGCAGACATGCTTGGAGTAGCAAAATCAACAGTCTGGTACATTCTGAGGAAAAAGGAATTGACTGGTGAGCTTGGGAACTCAAAAAGGCCTGGGCGTCCACGGAAGACAACAGTGGTGGATGATCGCCGCATACTTTCTTTGGTGAAGAAGAACCAGTTCACAACATCAACTGAGGTCCAGAACACTCTCAGAGAAGTAGGTGTATCTGTCTGTAAGTCAACAGTAAAGAGAAGACTCCATGAAAGCAAATACAAAGGCTTCACATGTAGATGCAAACCATTCATCAATTCCAAAATACAGGCCAGAGTTAAATTTGCCCAAAACACCTCAAGAAGCCAGCCCAGTTCTGGAAAAGTATTCTATGGACAGATGAGACAAAGATCAACCTGTACCAGAATGATGGGAAGAAAAAAGTTTGGAGAAGAAAGGGAACGGCACATGATCCAAGGCACACCACATCCTCTGTAAAACATGGTGGAGGCAACGTGATGGCATGGGCATGCATGGCTTTCAATGGCACTGGGGTCACTTGTGTTTATTGATGAGATAACAGCAGACAAGAGTAGCCGGATGAATTCTGAAGTGTACCGGGATATACTGTCAGCCCAGATTCAGCCAAATGCTGCAAAGTTGATCGGACGGCGCTTCACAGTACAGATGGATAATGACCCCAAGCATACAGCCAAAGCTACCCAGGAGTTCATGAGAGCAAAAAGGTGGAATATTCTGCAATGGCCAAGTCAATCACCAGATCTTAACCCAATTGAGCATGCATTTCACTCGCTCAAATCCAGACTTCAGACGAAAAGACCCACTAACAAGCAAGACCTGAAGGCTGCGGCTGTAAAGGCCTGGCAAAGCATTAAGAAGGAGGAAACCCAGCGTTTGGTGATGTCCATGGGTTCCAGACTTAAGGCAGTGATTGCCTCCAAAGGATTCGCAACAAAATATTGAGAAAAAACTTTTTTGTTTGGGTTATGTTTATATGTCCAATTACTTTTGAGCTCCTAAAATGTGGAGTGTTTGTAAACAAATGTGTACAATTCCTACATTTTCTATCACATATTTTTGTTCAACCCTTTAAATTAAACGTTACAATCTGCACTTGAATTTTGTTGTAGAGGTTTCATTTCAAATCCAATGCGGTGGCATGCAGAACCCAACTCACAAATATTGTGTTACTGTCCAAATATTTCTGGCCCTAACTGTATTTGTCTTTGGATTAGCAGGTCTCATGCAGGGTAATAAAATTAACATTGAAACAGTCCTACAAGGGGAGGACACACCTTCTATGCATATATTTAAATGAAGGGAATACACATTCTTATAAAAAGGTCTGTTTTACAGCAGAAGATCGAATTGCTTTGTGCCCAAGTGAGCAGTTCCCAGAAATGCATTTTTGTCTTTCCTTTCCAACTTGTTGCAGGTAATTCTATGTTTTGTCTTGATGATCTGGGTGTAAGGCTGATGTAACATTCTGTATGCACTGAATTCTCTGGATAAAGCTCTAGATATATCTGAAGTCTGATGTAGAATGGTTGTTTCTTTATTATTTCCCCTGCACATGCGAGACCTGAATCTGGGAACTAGAGAAAAATTAGCGAGCCAAGTGAAGTTATTCCTCTAAGTTTTAACATTAGTCAGGGTTTCTCCATGTGTTTATCTGCTAGGGGAATTCCGACTCCTGTGAATGGAAGAGCTGCATGTTAAAGGACATTCTTATTTCTTTTTGTCCAGGCCTCTGCCATTAACCTGCATTAAAGAACAACCAGCAACTCCTTTGATCTGATTCCCTTCTTCAATTGAACACAACGCAGAACATATCAAGGTTAACCAGTTGTATAAGACTAGGTTCCCAGGAAAGAACTCTGTTAATATACACCGGTAACACCAGTTAGATTAACATTTTATTTATTACTTATTGCTGAATAATGACGTTAGAAAGTCGCAGCTGGTAGTTTGTCCACCAGGGGGCGCCTGCGCGCAGCTCTCTGAGTCTCCTTTGACTTTATGAGTGAAATATGATCAATAATAACTGAACGGAGAGAATAAACAACAACTTAATGACCAATTAATAAATGATACAATTATACAGCAGTTTCTGTCCTGAAGCTGCAGAAAACAGTTGAAGTGTAGCTGCTGGGGTCCAGGTCTGACCGGAGACGGAGAGAAGAGGCTCAGCTGGCTCCTTCCTGAGGGAACGGACCGGAAAACCACAAACCCGAATGAAACCACAAACCAGAAAACCTGAAAACCAAAAACCTGAAAACCATGAATCCATAAAACCATGAATCCATGAATCCATGAATCCATAAAACCATGAATCCATGAATCCATGAAACCATGAATCCATGAAACCATGAATCCATGAATCCATAAAACCATGAATCCATGAAACCATGAATCCATGAATCCATGAATCCATAAAACCATGAATCCATGAATCCATGAAACCATGAATCCATGAATCCATAAAACCATGAATCCATGAAACCATGAATCCATGAATCCATAAAACCATGAATCCATGAAACCATGAATCCATGAATCCATGAATCCATAAAACCATGAATCCATGAATCCATGAATCCATGAATCCGGGACACGACCAGCTGAGGTTCCTCCATGTTTCTGGTTCTGCCAGCCTGAAACCTCCTGCAGGTCCGGTTCACCAGTCTGACCAGTTCAGCACCTGGAGAGTCTCCATCATGTTTCTCCACCAGAACCAGGTCTGGTTCTTCTCCAAACCTCCTGGACCGGTTCTGCTGAACGGACCGGCTGGTCAGGCTGAACCAGAACGAGTCACAGTCCAACTTTACTGACACACACACACACACACACACACACACACACACACACACACACACACACACACACACACACTCTCACACACACAATAACATTATCTGTGTGTGTGTGTGTGTGATCTGTGTGTGTGTGTGTGTGTGTGTGTGTGTGTGTGTCCAGAGTAACGCTGCGGGTCACCAGGAGGACAGAGAGATCAGCGTTCTGCCCCGCAGGAGGACGGAGGAGGACGAGGTGAGACAGACAGGCGGGACGTCTGGACTCCTTTGGTTCAGAAAAGTTCAGATGATCCATGAAAGCAGAATTTATTCTAATCAGATCAGAATAAAGATCCAGGAGTTCTGCTTTTTCCATATAAATCATCGCTAGTTATTTTTATGTGTAGTATTGATACCAGGACCGGGTCCCGACCCGAGGACGGTCCTGACCGGGTCCCGACCCGAGTCAGACCGGAGTGGGACGTCAGCCTGTCTGTCCCTCTGTGTCCTCAGATGGGGACGTTGGGCTCGTCTTCGTCCTGCTGTCTCAGAGTGAAGGATCTATGTCCGCGACCGAACGGCCTCCTCAACCTGCTGCTCACTAAAGGTAAAAACACCTGCACAGTAAAACAGCTGCCAGCCGCACTGATCAGCACCGATCGGCTGTAAGAGCCACGACATCACAATAATCAATAATCAGCTGATCAATTAAAATCATTCTGATCAGAAATTCATGATCCATTTATTTATGGTTTCTGTTTTTATTCCAGTTTATTGGTTTTTATCTTTTATTTTCTATATTTAAAATATTTTCTAGTTTCAGGTTTAAGAGTTTT